ATAGTTTTGATTTAGAAGAAGGAAACATCTAGGTTGTATTGCTCTTTTATTTTTCTTTTTGCTATGTGTAATCCCCTACATCACTTAGAAAATTAATGAAAAAGAGGAACATGTTTGATAGTTAGTTAGATTTTAAATTCGGTAAATTTATTTTTCAGTTTTGTTTGAATAAAGAAGTTAGGTTATACATTACAGCATGAAAATAAGAAAAAGAGTTGGAAAAAGTCTAAATAAAGAGTAACAAGAAGTTGGAAAATAATGTTGCGTCAATAAGGTAAAACAGATTGCATCTTTATCTATGTTGTTATGATCCTTTTGCTGTAGCAGGATGACAGTAGTTACGTTGAGTGAGAATCAGTGCTCTTCAACTTGAACTTGCAAAGAAATGTAGGTATGATTTGGAGGCTAAATTGATCAAGGCAGAGAGCAACTGAAATTATTGAACATCCAAGCACAAGGAATGAACTTGAAAGCAAGAGAAGCCAAAAGAGTTAATTGAGGATGAGGACTTAGGATTCAAGGTTTGATGAATTTGAATCTTACCATATGAGTAAGTTTTGAAGGCTATAAGGGTGGAAGAAGCCGAGCCAAGTCAAGTGCAAAAGCACAAGTGAACAAGAAAGCCCCTCACAAAAAGAAAAATCAAGTCAAAAGTAAAAAAATAAAATAAGTGCCAATGCACATGAGCAAAGCTCACAAAAATAAAAAGGGAGCCAAGTCAAAAGAAAAGCAAGCAAGGTGGACACCCGTTCCTTCAATTCTCTACACATAGGTTTTGATTCAAGTTTGGAAAAGTATGGATCAAGCCAACAAGGAAGTTCTTCACACACACACTCAAGGTTCCAGAAGCAAGAAGCCAAGAAAAGTTAAGCCAACAAAGAGTCCAAAAGTGAAAGTATAAGCCATGGTTGAAAAGCAACTCTCATGTGTACATTGCTGTTGGAATGCTACATCAGAACTGCTCATTTCAGTAATAGTCATTGCTGCAATTATGCTACTGAATTTATGCAGACCAATTAATCAGTTTCTTCTTTGTTACTAGAGGACGAGCAATGTTTTGAGTTTGGAGTGTGTGAACTCTCCCAAATGAGAGTTAATTTGATATTTTTATGATGAATTTGCTTCATAAATTCCATATAAAGTGTCTTAATTGCATGATATTAAGTTAATTGTTGTATATTTATGATTAAGTGCTTTGAGATAACTAAGTATGGAAAATGAGACAATATTCCTTGATTTTGTGTAAGAAAAAATGACTTGTTGAGTATTTGTCTTTGCAGGAAAAATTGACGCTAGAATGTTGTAGCAGAGAAGCTGTAACAGCCCCAAACCCTGTAGCAGGATATTGTCCGCTTTGCCCCGCGCACAAGCACCGTCGAGCTCACGGTTTTACGTTTCGGGTTACCCCAAAAGGCCTCCTACAAGGAAAGGTATCCACACCCTTATTTAAGGCATGCTTCGTTCCCCTCTCCAACCGATGTGGGACATTACAGAAGCTGACGAAGCAATGATATAGCATGATAGCATGGACAAGGGAACAACTAAATTTTCAAAATTCAAAAGTTAGTTATTCCCCAACAATTGGATAAGACACCTGCAAGCAAGGATCAAGGACGTTTTCAAGATTAATTTTTATCCTAAAATCGCAAGAAACAAGGACAACAAACTCGTACCTAATCCACAACAATATTGGCACAAGAAAATCAAGAAGATCAAGATCTTATCCAATCAAGTGCCAACAGCCCAAGAAATTAGGAATAAGATAAGGCTACAACAACACGATTCAAGGAATCTCACTCCCAACTCTAAGACCTGATAATCCAACCATTTTATCTATTTAAGGAGAAGTCCCCCACGGATTCAAGGAGTTTTGGAGAGTCTTTCAGAGGTTCAAGGTTAGACGAAGTTACAAAGAAGTCAGAGAAACACAGAAGGGACGTTTTAGAGAGAGAAAGTAAGATTCTTGGAGGAGGAAGAGCTGCTGGAGCAAGATTGTGACAGAATTTTACAACAACATTCGTTTTCATCTTCTTTTCTGTTTTCCAATTAGTTCTTTCTTCCTCTTCTCTGTTTTGTTTAATTCCATTATGAGCAATTTGCTCTATAGGTTAGGTGATAAAGTACCTATGCTGTATCATTGAGATGTATGCCTAAATTTTGTTTTTATTAATGTTTAATTAGTTTTTCAACAAGTTTGCTTATTCTTATTCATGTATGTATGTCGAGAGATACATATGTGATATTGAGGAGGTTAGGGCCGAGAGGTTTCCGAATCCAGACCCTTATTGAATTGTGTGGATTAATTAGGTTAAAGTTAACTTGATTAAGTTGTGGGTAGAGAGATCATTTACACCACATAGCCTTTGAACTTGGACTTTAACAATTCGGTAATTAGTTTGGCCATAGAGATGTGGGAATTAGTTATTGGGTATACATGTTAGGTTGGCCAAAAGCCCCAGTATACCTTAGTGTTCGGTTACTAATTAAGCATTGATATATCATCGTTAAAGCATTATTTCAGTATTGCTGTATCAGGGAAGTTGAACCTGACCTATATTTCATCCATCATCTTAATACCTTTAATTTTAATTTACTGTTTTCTTACTTTTAATTGTCTTTTATTTTATAAATCTAATCATCATAATCAATCCTTTTTCCTATTTTCTTTACTTGAGTAGCTCATACTTTATACTTATCTCTGTGGGAACGATACTTGAACTCACACATTCCCTTATTACTTGTGACACGTGCACTTGCGTATTTGTGTGAAAAATTTAATTGATTACAAATTGCACAACAATTACCCTATTAAAAAGGGATGTTTTGAGCATGTCTTACCCAAGACTCTGTACCGCTTTGGCCCTTGAATGTAAGAGTCTTGATAGCAATATTGAGATTCTGAACCAAATAAATTTTTTATGTGTTGTTGTCTTCGTTTCTATAGAATGTTTTCGCGCGATTTTACTTTTACATTTAAGATATTTTATCTCAAAATTGCAAAAATAAAAGAAAAATGTTAATCATATATTGGTTCATACATCTCTCGTATTTAATTATGTGGTTACATGGCTGGATTATGTGCGTGGAAAATAAAATAAACTCAATTATAATTAAATGATAAAAATACATAATAATAAGTAAAACTCATATAAAAATAAATTTATCCAAGAGTAAGTGAATAAGGATATATTCAAACTTCATTTATGGGTGTATTGGATTGGGATTTTAAAAGATTTTAATGGATTGTTTGCGGATAAAAAAATCCATTGGTATTCGATTAGGATTTTAAAGGACTTAAAAAAAGTCACGTGGTATTTGATTATGATTTTAAAATATTATTTTAGAGTCCATCCAAATCTGTTGGTATTAAATCAGGATTTTAAACAAAGGAAAAATAATCTCGTGGTATTCAAAAATCTAACGATTTTAATGGATTTTTTATTTGTGTGGATTTCGTGAGACTTTTTAGTGAGAAATATAAATAGGATGCCTCTCTCACAATATCATCCTAACACTTAAGATTTCTTTATTGCTTTGATGGTTGACCCGCTCAAAACCAAGTTCCGCCGTGGGAGCTTCGTCAAAGCTCAAAAATACCAAATTTTTGAGCGTTTTTTGTCACAAAATAACCCAGAAAAAACAAACCAACAAGATTCTAATACAATCCATCTCAAAAACAACATATTTTTTAGAGCTTTTGGAAGTTTAAAAAATTAATTTTCAAGCTATGGGTCGCGATTTTTCTTGGCACAAAAATGTATGATTTTTGTATTAAAAATATCATAAAACTCACAAACCAATTTTTGTTTTACACCAATGAAACAAGATCAATTTAAAGAAAGATTGAAAATTTCATAATATAAACCCTATATTTTGTAACAATACATTCATGAACGAAATTCCGTCACTATAGAAAACGATTTCAAACAATTTTTGTATCAATAGATAACTAAAAACTTGTTTTTCAAAAGCCCCAAAAAAATTTAATGAATACTCAGAAATTCAAGTTTTAATGTATCGATTGAAAATAATTTGAGAAATTTTTTAAACTTATATGTAATAAAACCCAGAAATTTAAATTTGAAATTTTCTTAGAATACTCAATGAAAACATGCATATGATATATGGTTAGAAAAATGCATATGATATATGGTTAGAAAACTCACATCACGTAGAACAAAAACTCCAAAGTTTCAAAGATCAATTGCAAGAAATTCCAAATGAAATTTTATCATGAACTTTAGGTTCTATATGTAAATTTAGAATTATTTTAATAAATAAATAAAAATTGGGTCTTATAATAATATATGCATAACTTTGATACCAAATGAAGAAGATAATTTTTAACTCATTCATCAAACCTAAGAGCATGAACAAGAAAATGCTAATGCATGGAGGACTAGTATAATTTTAGATATGTGAAGAGTTGTTGCTAAGTAATTTTAAATGTTTGTTAAAAATTATATTATGTTTTATTGATTGAGAAAATTATATTAGGTTTTACTTTTTTTATTAATATCATTGTATTTCTTTATTTTTTTATTGACTCTTGTAATTTTGAATGTTTGTTAAAAATTCAGAAGATTTTTTAGAATTTTATAAATCCATAATGTTCTTTTAAATCTTATAAATTTTATTAAAATTCAATCTTATGAAATCTTGATTGTAAAAAATGCCTTTTAAAAAAGTCTTTAAATTCCGTCCAATTCTAAATAGTCTTTTATAATCTATAGAATTTTTTATCTCAAAAAAAGTCTTCAAAATCCTAATCCAATACATCCCTTAAATTTAAAATTTCATTATAATCTTAATTGATTAAAATTTAAAATAAATACAGTCTTATTTACTTATTTTTAGAGAAAAAATCATTTTAAAAGATTTTTTTTCTGAATATTTACATTTTAGCCAGCAAAAATATACAAGTCAACGAAAAAAAAACGAAAAAAAGAAAAATAAGATAAATCAGATTAAGCAGATTGCTTCGCACCCGCGTACCTGAAAATACAGAAAGGGTACTTGAAGCATTGAATCTAATTCATAGCAAAACCAAAAAAAAAGTTGGTTGAAAAATTGGATTCAGATCAGAGGGCGACGAAAATCGGTGGAGAGCCATGGAATATCTAGGGATTGATGTGAGCTGTGCGGTGGATTCTCTCCGCCATCGAAACTTCCCTGACAAGGAGTGTTTGCTCCCTCTCATTTCCAAGCTCCTCGGCTACGCCATCGTCGCAGCTTCCACCACCGTCAAGCTCCCACAGGCACCACCTCTCTCTTTTCCACTTCAATTCACAATTTCCAAAATCCCTAAACTAACCATTGGTTGTTTCTGCAATCGTGACAACTTTGGTTTTATATGCTGTATCTAAAAAATGTGTTGATGTCATCGATTTTTTCTTTCTTTCTATAAATGTTGCTTTAAAGCATGCTTAATTTCCGAGTTGTGAAATGTCAATGACGTTATCATGTTCCTGTTAATCTTCTGAAGCGCAGATTTTAAAGATTCTGAAGCATCGAAGTGTCAGAGGCCTTAGCATGATATCCTTCGAGCTTGAAGTTATTGGCTATACCATATCACTGGCTTACTGTCTTCACAAAGGCCTTCCGTTTTCGGCTTATGGAGAATTATCGTTCCTTTTGGTCCAAGGTGCACTAAAAGTTTGTATATTTTATTTTATTTTTTGCTTTAAATTTTTTGTTTTGTATGAATTCTTCGTTATTCTTCCATTCAACCGTTATAATATATCATACTCTTATAAACTGGCTTGAGGTCGGGGTCGGATTAGTATTTTATTATTGGGAGCCAAAGTGTAAAACAATTGAATAGTTGCCTGATTAAAATCTGTATCAAGCTTTCCGGCTCACTATTCTAATTCTGCTTTTAAAGTAGGTTAAATTATGAATTTTGTTTATTTTTTCCCCTGATGAACTTGTTTTATTTTTTATTTGGTTGATCATCCGTGAACCTTGGCTTCTTAATGAAATCATCTGTCCAAGTTTGAAATAAGAAAGAGAAAATTGAAAGATGTTGGTATACCAAAAAGAATTTAACATACCTTGATTGTATAAAAACAGAGGTGAAAACATTTTGAATAAAGGTCGGATGAGCTCAATAAGAGTCGACCAAGGCATTTATAAAATAGATGAAGTAGTTACAAGAGATAAATGATAAGATAAAAGATAAACATAATTATAGACTAAAATGAGATATGTTAAAACTGAATCCTTCTAAATGCTAGGATAAGATATTTTGTTGTACTCTACTCTATCATGTGGATGTGGTACATACCTTTTATGGTGCTTTACTTCAGAATTCCAATCAAATTCACCCTCCTTAATATGGTGTAATTAAAGAATTGGTTGAAAGAGGAATAAACAAATAAAATCTAAAAACCAAGATAAAGGCAGGTTGGGATGTTATTATTGAGATGTGATACGAACCTTGAGAGAGCCTCACACCAAAAGCTAGCTTGTAAGGTAGGAGAGCCCAAAGTCTATATAAATCCCATACAGAACCTTGTGTTTCCGATGTGGGACTCCAAGTCCTATATCTTGTAATTGGATCAAAACATCTCACCATGCTCCACAACCCTGGCACCCACGCTGCTTGGTTTGGCTCTAGTTTTCTTTTTTTACTGGCCCTGGGCAAACACTGCAATGCCAACGTCACCAGTTGTGCCGCTCGATTGCACTTGGGAGATATTGTGGAAGCTTTGATACCAATTCATAGATACCAGAAATACAGGGCTACAGAATATGCAAAAAATGTATTTGTATTGATTATGTTTCTGGAAATTCCAGATTCTGGTTACAGTATAAAAGTATAAACTGAAAAGAAAATAACACTGACACTTTGAGACGACAGACAATCTCCCAAATTCACCCAAAGGTGCCCACAATTCACTCACACACTACTTGACTCCCCTTTTCCCTTTGCCTCCTAATATACTCACTATTCCTAACAAACTTACCCTCCAACCTCCTCTCCCTCACTTTCCATGCTTGTCCACATCAGCCACTAAGCTGATTGTGGTATAGAACCTTGTCACTACGGGTCTATCAGGATGTTATGCTGTTTTAGTTGTTGGGAAGTAAAGTGCCAACAAGAGTGTTAGCTGCGTGTTGAGGAGATGAGAGTGCTGCAGTGGATGAGTAGACATACAAGAAAAGATAAGATAGGAATGAATGTATTACTGAGAAAATGAGAGTGTGCGTAGCACGTATTAATGGAAAAAATGACAGATTCTCACCTATGATGGTTTAGTCATGTGAGAAGACCAATAGAGATCGCAGAAAGAATAGTTGATCATATGCAGGATAGTTCAATATCAAAGGTAGAGGAAGACCAAGGAAACTTGAGAAACAAAGACCTTGATTTAATTGACCTTTCTGAAAATTTGGTTTTTCATATGGCAGAATGGCATCATTTGATCCATGTAACCGTCTCCACCTTTTGGGAAAAAGACTTTTGTTGTTGTTATTACACCGATTGAGTCATGCATGGTTGCCACAGTAAGTAGAAGATCCGTTAGCAGAAAATATCTTCTTCTTTCATGAAGCCCAAAAACTGTAAAGCTTTGGATATGAGCTTAACAGTGATATAACTTATTAATTCATTATTTTAGCAAGTTAAAGTAAAATAACCAATGTCAATAGGCTGTCCATTGAGTTTGCTTTTGTGGACTAGTATTTTTTTGGACCGTACTCCCACTTACATCTTCACTGCATAAGGTTGATATTTGATACTCATAAGTCAGCACCTGTGTAAGTTTCACTATTTTGAGTCTAACAGGATATGGACTTGGGATAAACAAACAGGTGGTCCTTGCTGATTCACCCGGGATTCCACGTGTCCTGTGCTACAAAATGGAATCTATTCCTAACATATATACCGTGGTTCCTTACTTCGACAGGGTACGAATATCTAAATTACCCTCATTTTGTGATGCAGTAGCTGCAGAAAAGAAATAATTAGTAGCAGGGTTATCATTATACCTCTATGAACATTGCAAGTAGATACGTATTGTTGGATGTCCTTCTTTATACTTTCTCAATACACCAATCCAGAAATCCTCTTGTAAGTACGGAAGAACCCCAAGTGGATACCAGTAGCAAAGTTAACCTTAGCTAAAATCAGTGGAATTCTTGCTGATTTCTTAGGGAGAACCAGCTTCCCTTTATACATCAACTTATTACCTTGAAAGGAATAGCTAGGGTGTGCATTTGGATCACCAATAAGATCATGCATGATGACTGAAAACTGAACCTCCTCCACCCACTTTTCTAAATCATTGAATTGGATCATTGATACCGCAACATATTGCATGTGTTTGGACAGTGCATCTGCCACTCCATTTTCACTCGCCAGTTTGTACTTTATGTCAAAATCAAATCCTATTAATTTGGAAGCCCATTGAACTGTTCTTCACTGATTAGTCTTTGATCATTCTGGAACTGTAGGCTGCGCTGGTCAGTATGAATGATGAAATGCCTCCGTAAGAGCTAATGATGCCACTTCTGAACTGTCGTCACTATTGCCATGAATTCCCTTTCATAAACGGACTTCATCTGAGCTCTATCTGATAAGGCTTGGCTGAGAAAGGCCACTGAGCTCTATCCGATTATGATTACAGAGCTGCTATTCCTCATGTATTCGAGAGCCTGATCTCTCCCTCTCATTCAAATGTTATAACCAAATACCCTCTCCTCTCTCCTCCTTTCTCCTTATAAACTACTTCTGACAATTCTGTTAGAGGAATATCCTCCGATATCAATTAACTCTAGCCACTATCTAACAATATCAATTAACTCTAATTACTGTTAACTGATAGGGCTCAGCCCAACCAAAACGTTGGGTCCATCCTTATTTCTCTTCACATACACCTTCCTGATTGGGGGCCTGCTACTAACAGACACTTCCTTTTATTTTGCAGTTCTGGTTATGGGTAGTATTTTAGGCTTGATCTATGTTAAGTACGAGTTGTAATGTCTTACTTGTAAGGCCAAAAGTTTCTTAACGGGCTTGGGTCAGTAGTGAATGTCAATTGTCAAGGATTATATTTTGGGAGTTGTTTTCTTGTTGACTTACATTCTTGTAAGATGTGCCTAGAAAGTTGTAGTTTGATAATTTTAAGTTGGAATTCCTAAGAGATGTAGGCTGGAAGGTCATGTAATCTGAGAGGTCTTAGCTTGCACTATAAAAGATAAACCTCAGCCTTTGTATGGAGATCTTTTTTTTGAACATTAGAAGAACCAGCCTATTGGTTGTGTTTGAATCTTTCTTCTCTCAAACCTTCTCTATTGCTTGGTAGAGTCCTATCTAGACTTTTTGTCCTCCATCATTTTGTTAATGATTTTGATTAATTTTACATACTGATATTTGATGTATTAGTACTTGCACAAGTGTCATAAGCTTTAGATCATGCAACTTGTACGGCTGTATCTTTTGTTAGGAATATCTATCTTTTGCTTCCATTTTCTTGAAGTAATCTGACATGGTTTTACCACTTTTTTTCTGTTACAGCTTTAGTATTGATTGCCATAATTTACTACTTTTCTCGACCTGTGGGTACGACAACATGGATCAGGGCATTGCTGTATCCTGCTTGTGTGCTGAAGCACTGAGTTTTTATTCTTGCATTCTGCAATATAATTGAATATTCTCGACCATTTCCTTGATATATTGGTTTTCAGATATTGTGCTTTAGCACCCACTATCTTAGCTGGTCAAATCGATCCTCTCCTCTTCGAGGCTCTGTATGTGAGTAACAACTATGCTCAACATGCATTTACTTATGCTGCTGAAATTTTTCTCCAATTAAACTTTTTGTATTACCTCTGTCAATTAATGGATGTTGAGAATTCAGCCCTTTTTTTTTTTAATAATTATGTGGGTTATAAGGTTCTCCGTGTCCAATATTTCCTTATGTGGATATGATCTTTTGTAGGCATCCCAGCATGCAATCTTTCTCTTTGCCAGGATTCCACAAATATGGCAAAACTTCTCTGTAAGTGGAAACATAAATACCTGTTTTGTATTCCTTCTATATTGGAGAAAAATACCTAGTTTTCATGACATTTATAAACTTATTTTTAGTACTTACATGTATAAATGATATTGATTCTCTACAGTAAGAATGGCTACTTATTTCCTCTTTGGTAACAAGTAAATGAGTTCTTTCATTGTGCAATGCATGATGATATATTTGAAGCTAATTACATAAGAGGAATTTGGTTTCTGAGAATGCTATATTGCCATCCTAAATGAATTTTTAGGAAAACTAGGAGCTTGTGCTGCTCGTTTGTAATGAAAAGGCTTGCTTTCAACTCTGTTGATGTGGTTATGCTGAATTTTTCATTTTATGCCTCTGCATTCATTATAGTTATTTTTCTGTCCAAAAAATTTCAATTAATGAAGTATGGTGACACTTTGTTTCACTATTCTTATTCCTCATTCACTCATTGGTATCTTACTATGGTTGAGCAGAACAAAAGCACAGGGGAGCTCAGCTTCTTGACTTCTTTTATGAATTTTGGAGGTTCAATGGGTAAGCCAGTATGACTGTAATAAAATTTGGGTTACAATTTGTGTTTGATTGCATACTAATGTTTTTGTTTATATTTGTTGCAGTTAGAGTATTCACCAGCATCCAAGAAAATGCACCAAAAAGTGGTATCCTTGCTTCTTAATTTGTTTTCATCATCATAAATGAATATGAAATCAGTTTTTGGTGTTAATAATAGTGCTGTGTGTTTTAAGAAGGTTAGGACCTGTTCAATTACTTTCTTTAGAAACATTTTTGTTCTAAAAACCAAAACATGTGTGCAAGATGTCTCTATCTCAATTTTGATGACAGGAAAAATGAAAAACAATTTGAAGATACTTTCAAAATAGTGTTTTTGAAACAATATTATTTCAAAGTAGCAATCTTGTAATCAGATAAAATCAGTTTTTGCAATCTCACTATTTACTGTAAACATTCCTCTTCAATGGCTTCATTGGAAATTTAGCAAGCATCCCCTGCTCTTACCTTTTTCTGTCTATGGTCTGAGTCAGACATGCACTGACAGATAGAACTGAATAGCTATTTTTCCCTATTGCCTCATCTTTGATTCTCAGTCTCTGGTATTGCTTTCATAAACTGAATAGCCATCTTCCCTAAGTGGGTCCCTTCTTTTTAAATAACCTTTCCTTATTAAACTTAATTACTCGATCCATGTCTTCCTTCTTGAATCAAAGAAGTCTGGAACCTTTTTTATATGAATGTTATTTAGTGAATAAGCTGGGGAAATCCTGAAGATACTGGGTTCTTTTTCCTGTTGTATTAGGTTCTAGTTTAAGTGTCGGAGTTAAGTGAGGCCATAAATGTTGGCCGAAGGGTGTTTTGGTTGGCTCAGGAGGAAGAACAATAGTATGATTTTCATGTTTCAAACTTTTTTTGGGGGGTAGTTTTCATGCTTTGATATTGATGATATAGAAAGATGGTAGATGCAGTTATGTGGTTTACATTGGAACAAGTTTTTAAACGTTTTGTGTGTGTTTTTTTTTATACAAAAAATAGGTCTAAAAACTATTTTCCCGTGCACATTTTTCCCCCCTCTGTGAAACTCATACGATACCACCCTTGAGGGCACTTTAAGAAAAGCCATTGAGTGAGTTAGTAAATGGGTTGTTAGGTGTGATTAAAACAGAAAACGGTTAGCAAGAAATGGAGGGAAAAGCTGAATAAATAGTGGAGGGCAAGGAGCATGAGAATCATCTGGAATCTTAGGCCCAGGTTGGGATTGGGAGAGACTAGAGCCTCTCTAAGTGCTCTAGAACTAATTTACCTTTCTGTTTTCTTCTTGTATTTTCTTGAATTTCCATCATTGTATCCACACCTTTTACTATTCTGTGACATTGTATTGAAACTAAGCTTCAGTATCAATACCAAATTTCCTTTGTTCTGTTCATATTCCTCTCTTTTCTGATTGGTACCTATCAGAAACTATTCTTAAATTTGCTTTGGAAAATTAATAGACAAAAACTACCATATCACTGTTTTTTTTTTTTTTTTAGCTAAAGGCTAAAGGTTAAACACATTGTATTGAGTGTTAGGATTTGGATCCTCTTCTTTTTCTTAGAAAATGACTTTGTTATTTTCAAAGAGTGAAAGACTAACAATTATATTGCAAGATTTATGATTGCACAAGAAATTGGAGAAAGAGAAAAAAAGAGAGAGAAAAGGGAAAGGGGGGGGAGGGAATTTGCGTGTTTCTCTCTACAAAAAAAGGACATTCATTTTCTTAAGGACTTGTCTATGGAGAGCTCTACCTCTTGTACATTATATCACAGATATGCGAAACAAAATATTTTATGAAGTCATATAGTAAATATACAGATCTCTTCGATGATCTAATGAATAAGAGGGTTGAGCTCTTGAGAACTCAAGCACTCTATAGATTCACTTTTCTTACGCCTTAAGGTGCAGAAGATGCAAATTTACTGTTTCTTAAAGCTTGTATATATTTGTGTAAATGTTGTTCTGTGATGTAAAGTCCTAATGTATGATAAGAAAATGGTGACTTTTCAGCAGTTTCCTTTCTAAGTAGGTTGTTATTATTGAAAGCCACCTTCGTACTGTTTGAATTATTTTGTGTATGAAATTGAACCAAGTTTTTTTGTACTACATGAAACAATAATTGTGGATGTGTCTGCTCAGGCCTCATTAGTTAACTAACTGAATCTTTTTGAAAATCATGTCTTGCATGTGTCTTCCGTAGTATATTTATTTCTTATTTATTTTATATAATTGTGTCTGTTTCCTTAATTCGTTTGAAGTTCTATTGGGCTATGCAATTGGTGTCGCTACAAATTTTACCCTCTTAAGTCAGATTGTGATGTACCAAAAACCTCGGGCTGGGAAAGAGAAGAAAATGAAATAGTAGACCTATACCAGGTTGTGGATATCTCTTCATCCTGTTCAACTCTCAACAGGTGCTGCTGCATACAGGCCTTACTCAGAATTTTATCAGTCTTGAATCGACTCATTGAGCATTACATTATTTCAAGTTTCAACTGCTGATGTGTGGACCATTTTAAGGTAGCCAAAAGTGCATATGTAACATGTGAAACTTACCGTTTTTATTTTGGAACCTGAGACTCTTACGGTTAATTATTTTGCCTTTGTCTATCAAGCTAGAATATGAAGGATGCCTGCAGGTTCTTTGTAAGAATCTCTTCCACATCATGATTGTAAGGCTTAGTTCTAACTTTTTATTTATTTTTTAAATCATAAAATGATGAGTAAAAATAAGAACTCACGGTAGTTTCTAATCCTGGTCTTAATATGTACGCTGTACAGATATTTTGCCTAGAAATTTCATACTATTTCACGTTCTCCCGTACTTGTAAGGTATATGCACTTGGCTGATGAGGTCCTCTGTCGCCATACCAAACTGCATGTGCCAAATCGCAGTTTGCATTACTGGCTTCTGTCATGAGTGCAGTTAGCGCACGCATTTTATCTTTTTTGTGCTTGATTTGTTACTCGGTCAAAGCTTGTTATTCCTGGGGGATGCATCACTTTAGTAACTGAAGTGTGTTCTTGATGAGTTAACAGTATAATAGAACAAAGTGCTTTTGGTTTTGGCTCATGGCAGCGAACACACCCAGAACAACTTAGGACCATCAAAACCATGCCTTGGATGCCCTTTCACATCTCCATACGTTCAGTTTCGACTTTAATACAAGTGGAAATCTATGTCGAGTCAATGTTCCGAAGAACATGTGTACATCGAAATAGAAGGAATAAAATTTTTATTTTAAATATAGAAGAAATATGAGAATTATAAAAATAAAATGAGAAAATGTGTTGAATAGAACTTTAGATTATTCTCATTTTTAAAACATGATAATGTTCTCTTAAAGAGAAAAGTAAACTATTCTGAATCATGTTCAATAGACAGCAAAAATAAATCATCTACACGACCTTGTATCAAGGCATGAAAATATGATCCAGCGGTTCACCTGAAGGACATGCTAAAGTGCGACATTGAACTCTGGCTAGGATGAAAGGGGGATCAGAGACACATTTGCTACCGCCGTATAATATTGTATCTCCGACACCTTGATGAAAATTTAGTGATAAAAATTCGGATCAGTTCAACTGCAGTAGAGGGAAAGGAATGTGAGCCTCCATGCTCTTTTTCGAACTGCACCAACCGTAGGGGATTCAAATCCCAGGGACATAAGGGAGGAAATTTTGGATAGAGAAGAATGGCAAAATAATGCTTAGGGTAAGTGAAATAAATCAACATTTTTTCAACATGTGACTTTGGCAGTTTAATCGTCATGAAAAACCCAAAAACTCTTCATACAAAAAAGAATCCTGCGACAAATATGTGCCCAAAGATCCATTTTTATGTTGGCATTAGACGGTGTGTCCTTCAAGATTTTTAATCTCAAACCGCGTGGATTTTATTTTGCTGTAAACGAGCTATGCAATTAACCGGACAAACTCAGAGAAAGACAGGATAAATCAAACAATAATAACAGTTCAGTAATACTTTTTTTAAATCAACAAAACAGAAGGTTGTATATTCTAATAAAATGCCACTTGCTTGCTGCCAAAGAAATCAAATCAGGTCACACTCATATAAAAGTCTTAATATATTGATCAGCGTGGATATCTCAGTTGCACCGTCTAAGAGCCAAACAAATATCATAGGCAAAACTGAAGAAACCAAAATAAACCCTTCAAAAAAAAAAAAAATTTAAAAATTGAGGAGCAGCTGCAATTTTAAGAGATCATTTTTTTCACGAATCATGTTCATACACGTTAGAAACCGTTTTAATCTCCCAAGATATATACAGAAAACGAAAAATATCTTCTGCCATTCACTATCAAACATCTAACACAATGTTTTCAGTTCGAAACATTGATACACCAATCATAAATCATAAATCATAAATAATACAAAAGCCAGTCATGCTCAACCTCCGTGAAATTATACGTGCTGCAGTTTCCAATCCATCACCACATCTATGAATCGAGACTGAGTGGACATAATATTGTGCAGTAGGATAGGCTAACATGAGTATGAATCAGAGAAACAAAAAGTAACGGGAAAAAAAATGTTAAATAGATACAAACCAAACAATGCAATCGCATGTGACCCTATGTGAGTTTTTATATTTCTACTTTTCTAATATGTTGTATTTACCCTGTATATAAATGATAAGGATGAGTGAGAAGTGAGTTCATCAAACAAAGTAAAGCACTAACAACAATCGAAGAGAAACCAAAAAAAAAAACGAGTCATTGTACTTCAACCGTGAAGATTCAATTCAAAAGGCAATCAATAAACATCACACGGCATAAATTTCAAATTTAAGTACAAGAAATAGGAAATCAAAGTAATACAACACAAAATAATGAAAAATGATCAAAGACTCCGGTTTGATTTTGCTTTGTCTCTCTAACCATGGCGGCCACTAGTGCTCCCACCTGACCATCTTCTCCAAGTGCTAGCCACTAAACTCCTCCCAGACAAAAGCCCTAACCTTGACTTGAATGAACTAGATCGACCAGTACTGCTTGATGCAATACTGGCTGATGCGGATGCTGATGCTGATGCTGCCGTTTGGCTAGGCATTGAAGGAAATTCTAGACCATTGTCTTGTGCTCCACCATCACTGGCACTTGCATCTTGTTGTTCTGTTTCACCAGTATCTAAATTAACAGCAATTGAACCCCTAGTCAGCCTCAACCAATCCCCACCTTCAGAGGTAACACCCTTACACTTCTTCACCTTCACTTTCACCAAATTCGGACACCCACTTGCCAGAGCTTCCATCCCATGATCAGAAACAGGACAACTCTTAATGCAGAGTTTCTTCAAAGCTATACACTTTGCCGCAATGCACGATATCTCAGGATCACCAACCGTATCACTTCCACATAAAGCCAACCGCTCTAGATTCTGGCAATTAGATGCCAACATTTCCAAACTCGCTTTAGTGGGGTTAACACCCATAAGCACTAGTTCCTGTAGATTAGGGCAGCACTTGGCAACTGCTATTAACCCTTTATCACCAATACGATTTGCCTTCCACCCATCAACGTGAAGCTTCCTTAGGAGCTTGCATCGTTCCGCAATTGCAATTAGTCCAAAATCCGTGCATTCTGGGGTCTTAACAAGATGCAAAATTTCTAGGTTCGAATAATTGGCTATAGCTTGCAAGCCAACATCACTAATCTGGAGCCTCTCGAGGTGGACCTCAACCATGCTCGCGCTCATAGCTCGATCTGCCAAGAGTTGAAAGAGCTTGTCCCAATCACCGGAGCACCGGAAAAGCTTCAACGTCCTCAGATTCGTCGCGCCGAGAATCAATGAGCCGAAACACTGTCCGTTGTAAAGCTCCTTAAGGCAAACGGTTTTGAGCGACGCGGCCGCAACGCCAGGCCCAATCGGCTCCGCCGCAGCCGCATCGGAGATTCCACGGAGGCGCTTGACGGAGAGTTCTTCTAGCGCGGCGCAATTATCGAGCACCGCGTTCATGCCTTTGGATCCGAAGGTGCAAGATCCGCACGAGAGCTTCTTCAAACCCTTGCAGTTCTTCGAGAAGGCTTCCATTCCGGCATCTGTGAGCTCCCTGCACGCGCGGAGCTTGAGGCGCGTGAGGTTAGGGCACCGCTCAGAGATAAGAACGAGCGCTTCGTCCCTGATGCTCACGGATCTGCGATCACATTTGAGCGCGAGTTTCGTGACCGAATCAAAGCGAGAGAAGAGGGAAGGGATTACCGGAAGGAGATCCGATTGAGCGTTGAGGGAGAGACGGTGACGACTCTGTCCTTCGATCTGGAGCCACCGCCGGCAAACGAGGGAGCAGCGGTTGCGATCGGCGGAGCTGAGCGACTGGAACACAGAAGCCAAGCACTCGTTGGGGAGATCCGAGGTGTAGTCACGGATTTCACCGATAACTTCATCGCCGCGACGGTTATCGTCGAGGTAGTCTTCGGCGGCGGCGGATGCAAGCATCGGAGAGACCGATGCGGTGGATCTGGTCTTGGAGGAGGTGTCGGTGGAGCGTTGGGCTTGGACGCTTTCGCGGCGGCAAGCGACGGAGGCCGTTGAAGCTGCCTGGCCCATCCACGGCGATGATGTGAGAAGTGATGCAACAATGGACGGTTGAGATGAAGAGGACTCACCCTTAATACACTAGACGCTTCCTCAGAGAAGCCACTGAGTAACTGTGTAGCTTGTTCTTCTTCATTTTCCGTTCAAATGGGTTGGGTTCAGAGTTCGGTGGTGGACATGAAATAATATTCACTCCACTTTTCTGCGCCTTGTTTGGCGTTTCATGAAAAAGTGGACAATTTTTTAAAAACGGTATTATCACGACTCGTCATTTCATTTCCATTTCCCATTGTATACATACGGTATGGACGACCTCACCGGAATTATCATGGGCTCTCCTCACCCACTCTTGTAGCACGTGTCAATGTCACCAAGCATGCGGACGGAGGCGGCCTGACGGGTTATTATTGAAAGAATATTAAATCTTAAAATTACTATCAAATTTTACCGTTGATTTTTATCAATTTAACAGTTGTAACTTATTAAAAATCAATAATTAATTAATAAATATGACCTAATAAATAATAACAGTTAATTTGACGAAAATAAATAGTTCTCTCAAATCTTAAATACAAAATATGAGCTTAAAAACTACAAATATTTAAAAAAAAAATTGAATAAATCAAGTATTTTTCACGCAAGCAATTTTCTTCAAATCAGAAATATTTACATAATGGTGCGAGTAGCTCTACAAAGTAGGTTTAAGAGTAAATACTTTTTTCAGTCCTCAATAAATTTCACGATACCCGCTTTAGTCCCTAGCAAATAAAAAGGTCGTGGTCCCTAAGAAATTTAAAATAGACCCATTTTAGTCCTTTCGAGGGACTAATGTGGATCTTTTTTAAATTTATGAGGGACCACAATTTCAACTAAATGGATCCATTTTGAATTTCTTAAGGACCACGAATAACCTTTTTATTTGCTAACGACTAAAGCGGGCATCGTGAAATTTGCTGAGGACTAAAACGAGTATTTACTCTAGATTTAAACATACCTTTATTTTTAGGCATTTCTTTTTTCTTTTTGAAAATACGGGAAATACAAAGAGACACTAGTCAAATGAACTACACATTCTTAAGCTGCCTAGCCCAACTTCATCCCTGCGAAGGAGGGGCAAGCAACCCGTAGGGGGTTGATCTAAGATACATAAATTCCAGTCTACGTGGTCATGGCTAAAACCTGCAAGCCAATCCGCTACTATGTTCCCTTCTCTGAGGGTATGGGATACGTAAGTCAGCCACGCACCAGATAGGCAATTCCTAATCCTGGATATGAGGGGGGCCAGAGGGTGGCCAACAGAACAATCATCCATAATGAGTTGGACAGCAACAAGGGAGTCACTCTCCACCCACACCTGTTTCAATCCAGCACTCCATGCAATCTCTATACCATGAAGCAGACCCCAAAGTTCATCCCTAAGGGCAGAACCGTTGCCAGTATTCCTGTGGAATCCCATTAACCAAGTACCAGCTTCATTCCTGATCACTCCTCCGCAGCTGGATATCGCTCCTCCGTTCGAGCTAGAGCCGTCCGCGTTCAGTTTCACCCAGCCAACCGGAGGAGCTTTCCACGAGATAATTCTCTCCCTTCGTTCTTCCCTGATCAATCCACTCTTTAATAGTGTAGCCTTAGCCTTCTCCCAATTTCTAGCATAATCCACAGCCCTCATAATAATGGCAGTAGGCTGGAACAACTCTCCCTCAAAGATTAATTTGTTGCGTCCTTGCCAAATGTGCCAGCAAACAATCCCAAAAAGAATATTCCATTGAATATCCTGAGTTCCCGACTTCTCCTTTGTGCTGATATTCTCGTCAAACTAGATTGGGAAGTCTGATGTAAAGAACCTCAGACGCAGCTTGTCCGGAACCATCCTCTCCCAGATTACTTTACTGTTCCGGCAGTCTCTCATGACATGGAGGAAATCTTCGTAGATATTGTCACATCTAGGGCAAGCAGCGCTTGGAGAGAGGTGACGGTAGGTTCGGGTAGCATTGGTTAGGAGGTTACTGCCCATGAGGAGCCAGAGAAAGGACCTTAGCCGTTGGGACCCATCCCATTTCCACACACCCTTCCAATTGCTGTTAGCATTAATCTGTGGGTCGTCCATTAGTGCGGAATAGGCAGTTTTGAGGGAGAAAGCTCTATCATGGAAATGATCCCACAACACGATGTCTTCTCCTTAGGACGAATTAGGGGGCACGATGGCTGCCACTCTTGCACAAGCCTCATCATCCATATGAGATTTAAGAAGGGTCCAATTCCAAGAGCCATCCGTATTGGTGAACTTATCCACCGTCCAAGAGCAGTGATCAGAAGGGATAGGGGCAGTAATGTGACTCAGAAACGTAACACCCCCAGGGGCCCATTTGTCTAACCAAAATTTCGTCCCTCTGTCGTTGCCAAATTGGCAGTTGGAGCCTTCCACAACTTTGGGCCACACTTTGACAATCCCTTTCCATAAGAATGAGGAAGTCTGCTTAGGTTTAATCTGAGGGATAAGATCATTTCCAACGTTGTACTTATTCTTTAGGACCCTTACCCAGAGATCATTCTGCTTGGTAAGCATCCCATGCCCCAGTTTCATCATAGTCGCTTGGTTCATTCTCTGGGCTTGTCGGATGCTAAGTCCTCCCTCCTCTTTGTGCCTGCAAACTTTATCCCAAGCTATAGCATGAATTTTACGGTTATCTACAGTGGATCCCCATATAAAATCCTGAACCCTCTTGTCGATCTCCTTACAAGTTCTTACAGGGAGAGGGCAAGACATCATAGTGTACAGAGGCAGAGCGATCATGACCGATTAGGCCAACGTTGTTCTTCCCGCTAGAGAAAGGGAGGTTCTCTTCCAGGAAGCTAAACGCTGGTCCATCCTTCCAATGATATGCTAGAACGTAGCATGGTTAATCCTACCATGGGCCATTGGGATCCCCAGATACTTTTCGATATCAGAGGTAGAAGGGATTAGGCATTTCTTGACACACAAATATTTAAGAATACAGAGTAAAGGACAATTTACATTTAATTCTCAGCGAAAATCCGGCAACGGCTGCCACAGGGTAAATGAGGGTAATACGAACTCAAATTTAACCTCTTCTTTTCGGCAGAAAGTAGTGAGACTTTCTAAACATGCTCCCTTAAATCCAGAACTTCTCGCTAAATACATAAAAAAATTTAGGTACATCAATCAAGTGAATTTATTTTTTTACTTTAAAAACATATTCTTAATATATATTTAGCAAGTAGTTTTTTTTATAATTTTTAAAATTCTTTCCAGAATTAATTTTCCTAACAAAATTTTATCTTCTTTTATTCTGAAATTCAATTCTTATATTCAAATTCTTTATGCTTTGTGGTATGACAAAAAGTTATTCCATAAGTTGGTAGGAACAAATATTTTTTATTTTATTATAAGGGTATTCAAATTTTCCAAACTGAACTATAACCAAACCAGTTTGTACTTTAAAAAACTGTTGTTGAATAAGTTGACAAAATGTTATACCATAAGTTGATGACTGATAAAGGATGAATAAGGTAATGAATGATAAACACTAAAGGATTGGATGGTTTTTTGACCATTAGAATGCACGTATATATGTATGTTAAGGCGTGTGGCCTTTCCTTGGAGCTAGCTCTTTAGAGAACTCCCTGTGGTTAATACAGGGGAATAACCCTTGAGGATCCCGTACCATATTAGTGAGGACTTCTTATGGAAATAGCCCCTGCAGATCTCTAGATGGTTTATCTTATCCTTGGAAACAATCCTATGCGGATCTCCTTGTGGTAAGAACCTAAGAGAAACAACCCTTTTGCGGATCTCTCTTGGAAGTTCCTTGTGTTGTGTGAAATAATGATTGGTAGGGACTTCCTTTGGAAATATCCCTATGCGGATCTCCAAGTGGTAAAAACCTAAGAGAAACAATGTATTGCTGATCTATCTTGGCGGTTCCTAGAGTGAGATTATGGACTTCTCTTAGAAACAGCCCTATACGGATCTCCAAGTGGTAAAAACCTAAGAGAAACAACTTGTTGCGGATCTCTCTTGGAAGTTCCGTAGATTGTTTAAGGAATGTGTGATATTATGGATTTTTCTTGGAAACAGCCCTATGTGGATCTCCTTGTGGTAAGAAGCTAAGAGAAACAATCCTTGCAGATCTCTCTTGGAAGTTCCATGTGATGTTTGAAATGATGTATGTTATGCTTTACTATTGTTATTATGTATGCACAGGAAGCGAACCTAAGGGTGGAGTAATCCTCTAAGGACCCTTGGTTTACTGAGATTTTATCTCACCCCACGTTTTGGGGATATCATTTCGGGTACTGCTATAGCAGGAAAGGGATCATCCCAGAGACCAATGTAGATGTCATGATATAGCATGTTGTTGTTGTTGATTACTTTTGATACTTATATGCTTGCAATCATATTTTGAGGAGAACATGTATTTTGAGATTAGAAAGGAACGTAAATTATAAACATAGTTCTTTTTGTATCATTCATGATATATGATGTTGTATAGAATATTGATCATGAGTATGTAAAGCTAAGTTCCAAGTTAGTAATGATGTGAGACTTATGGACATTGCATATGTTTATAAGAACATATGTAATCCTTAATTTATATAATGTGTATTTGAGATGTATTTTTGGTGCTTGCTTGTGATGCAAGTGATATTTGATAAATCCTATGCCAATGAGGCTAGGTAACCTAATGAGTTTTAGTTGTACTTATGTTGGAAACATCATGAAACCCTATGCCAATGAGGCTATATAGATTGATGATGCTTAGGTGAATATGTTGATGGATAATGTGTTTGTGAGTATACGTCAATGAGGTATGGAGTTTTACCATAATAAGTAATGGTAATAAGAGAAATAACCATGTTGAGACACCAAACTTGAAGGTACTCTCTTATGGCATTTAAAAGTGGAGAAATGAACTATGATGTTGAGGCATGTATAGGAGATTATATGAAAGAAATGAGAAGAAAGATAAATGAATCATGTATGAGATATTTGAGTTTGGAATATTAGGTGATATGTGAAAATTGGTTTGGAAACCAATCCAAACATAATAAACCCCATCTTTTTTGTCCATTTTTCATATCCTATGTGATATATTTGGATCTCTTGGTCTTCATGGAAGATGAAGATATTTTTCTTTGCTTTTCAAGGAGACCAAGATTGTATCGATTGGATAAGTATAACTATAGTTATGGCTGAAACACCAAAGTAGGTTTCAGTCATTGTTTCGCA